AAGAATGAATAACAAACAAAAAAGTACAATAAGAAGCAGAAAAACATTTATTAGATCAACCCAACCTGTTTGGAGGACGACGCTCACGAGTAGGATATCAATGTGCAGCAAGATCAGAGTCATTAAAGGCAAAAGGAGCAACAACAAGAGTAAAGACAACTGATGGTGGAGGAGCCTGTTACGAGAATAGACTAACAACAGAAGGAAAGAAGAAGCCGAATGAGGAGAAGAAGCCATGGGTGATGCAGATGGAGAAGTAGGAATGGCCTCAGGAGGAACAATGGAGATGTACTCATCAGACAGGACGTCAAAAAGAAATGGGTCAATGTGAACCAAATTCTCTTTGGAAACAGGAGTAGTGAGAGGGGGAAGCTAAAAGTAAGACAGACGTTCAAGAAAGGCAACATAACATGAGACATAAAGGTGATGAGAGAGAGGTCGTAAGAGCAGTAGCCTTTTTGAGCAAGACTATAACACAAAAAGACACACAAGACAGACCGGGCACTGAGTTTGGTCCTATCTTTACGGAGCACGCTGAAGATGACAAACCTGCCCAGAAGAGTGGAGAAGGCCAGGGGGAGGACGCATGTAGACCTCCTCAGTGAGATGACCATTAAGAAAATGGGGAAATGTCTCCTCATAATCAATACCATACTCATGCGAGAAACCCTTGGCAACCAAGCGAGCTTTGTAGCGCTCAAGAGAACCATCAGAATGAGTCTTGACTTTATAGACCCATTTGCAACCAACCAGATTCTTTCTAGCAGGCAAAGGAACCAACTGCCAAGTGTTAGTCTTCTGCAAGACAAACAACTCATCCACTATACCTTGAACCCAACTAGGATCCTGACAGGCCTCTGCGTAAGACTGAGGTTCTAAAAAAGAATGAATAACAAACAAAAAAGTACAATAGGAAGCAGAAAAACATTTATTAGACCAACCCAACCTGTTTGGAGGACGACGCTCACGAGTAGGATATCAATGTGCAGCAAGATCAGAGTCATTAAAGGCAAAAGGAGCAACAACAAGAGTAAAGACAACTGATGGTGGAGGAGCCTGTTACGAGAATAGACTAACAACAGAAGGAAAGAAGAAGCCGAATGAGGAGAAGAAGCCATGGGTGATGCAGATGGAGAAGTAGGAATGGCCTCAGGAGGAACAATGGAGATGTACTCATCAGACAGGACGTCAAAAAGAAATGGGTCAATGTGAACCAAATTCTCTTTGGAAACAGGAGTAGTGAGAGGGGGAAGCTAAAAGTAAGACAGACGTTCAAGAAAGGCAACATAACATGAGACATAAAGGTGATGAGAGAGAGGTCGTAAGAACAGTAGCCTTTTTGAGCAAGACTATAACACAAAAAGACACACAAGACAGACCGGGCACTGAGTTTGGTCCTATCTTTACGGGAAGGAAGACAAAACAAGCAAACCTAAAAACACACAGGAAGGAATAATTGGGAGGTTGGGAATATAGAGCCTTATAAGGGGATTGACTGAAGAGTAGGGGAGTTAGCATGTGATTAAAGAGGAAAGCAGCGGTAAGAACTACCTCACCCCAGAATAGTGCCAGACCAAAGGCAGAGAGAATTAGAGATCGAGCTGTCTCAAGGAGATGACGGTGTTTACGCTTAGCACAACCATTTTGGGCAAGGGTATCAGTACAGGAGGTTTGGCGAATGATGCCCAATTTAACCAAATACTCACAGAATTCAATTTTAAAGTATTCTCCACCCAAGTTAGACTGGAATATTTTAATTGTGGCCCCAAACTGTGTAGTGATCATAGACTGAAAAGTATGATATATCTGGTAGAAGTCAGATTTATAAGCCATAAGATAAACCCAGGTATAACAGGTACAATCATCAACAAAGGATACATAGTACGCAGAACCCCCTTTAGTGAGAACAAGAGAAGGTCCCAGACATCAATATGTGCAAGAAGCAGAAATAGAAGTACTGTTATTAAAAGGTAAAGTTATCGTTATAACAAGTTTACATCCTCGACACTCATTCATTTGACTAGGAGAAACTTTACCTAACAATCCTGACTAAGCTAAAGACCGCAAGCGGTTAATAGACAAATGACCTAAGCAAGAATGCCAAAAATAAAACTGACTCGACTGAGAATCTAACTAAAAATATGAAAGTACAAAGGGGGTGGTAGACAGAGGAAGATGCAGGCTTTCCACCACATAGAGATCTCCAACTCTACGACCAGTCCTAATCTGCTTCTTGGATACCTAATCCTGCACACAACAGACAAAAGAAGAAAAGATAACATCAAAACTAGAAGCATCAAGCTGACTGATAGAAAGCAAACTAACAGATAGTTGAGGAACATAAAGAACAAAGGGAATACTAACAGCAGACATGGCAAAGGGTAAGACAAACCCAATAGATAGAACAGACCTACCAGACCCATTAGTAGTATTAATAGTAATAGGAAATGGAGGAGGGATACAGTTTTGGAGTAAGGAAATGTGAGGAGTCATATGATGAGAGACACCAGAATCAAAAAGCCAGACAAAGGAAAGAATACCTGAAGAGGACCCAAGCAAACTTGAATGAAGAGAAATGAGAGCAGAGGCAGATGAAGATGACTGAGAAGTGGACCAGAGATGCTGAAGCTGAGCAATCTGGGCACTTAAGGAAGCCAAGTCAGGATTAGAAGCCGGAGCAGATACAGTATAAGTAGCAGGAGGGCGAAAAGTACTTTGAGCAGGACCTCGGAACTGTGGCTGAGACGGTTGAGAACACTGAGCAAATTGACGGCCCTTCTTGTGATAGTTGTACTTCTAATGGCCTTTCTAATAGCAAAAGCACACTCATCAGAGGCTAGTGGCCCCTTATTGGGCTTTGCAATGGCCTGAAGCTCGACAACAAAAGAGGCTGAGTAGGAGCCAAGAAGACAGATGGAGACATAGTCTGACTAGCCGTCTTAAGATGGGTTTCTTCGGAAAGGAGCTCACGAACAATAGCATTTACAGAGGGGAGAAGAGACCGATGAAGAATACCACCACGGATAGCCTATTACTGAGGGGAAAGAGCCATTAAGAACTACACTAAACGACCCTGCTCCTAAAACTCAACATAAGTGTCTAGTACCTTGAGTCTAGGTGGTTTTATAAGAGCTAATTGATCCCAGAGACCTGTCATCTCAATATAGAAATCCTAAATAGTTTGATCCCGTTGACGAGCACTTTGAATAGTTGTTTCCAATTCATACCGCTTGGCAAAGTTGGACTGCTGGTAAACATCCAGTAAATAATCCCACACCTCCTTGGCAGTATTGTATTTAGAAAATATCATTCTAATACGGTCATCCACAGAATTATGAAACTAGGTCAGAAATTGGGCATTATTACAATCCCAAGTACCATAAGAAGTCAGATATCCTTCTACCTTTGAGTCCAATGGCCGAGGAATAGAACCAGAAACGTAACTCCATTTTTTTTGATTAAGAAGAAATTTTTTCATAACACTGGCCCAATAGGCATAATTGTTACTAGTGAGTTTGCACTCGATAGCTTGGGTTTTAGTGTCCGACATTATAATGAAACAAGGGTTATAGAATTAATGGGTTAAAATTATAATATTCAGAAGGTGCTGGGGTCAAACAATAATAAACCTAAAATAAGTTTTAAGTTTACTAACCCAAACCAGACGTTTAAGTTTACTAATCCAAACCAGACAACCACGAGCAGAGAGAGAGTAGTCGGAGAAGATCAAAGGAAAACCAACCGGGGAACCACGAGCAAAGAGAGCAGCAGTCGAAGAATACCAAAGGAAGCTTCGAAGCTCAATGTGTGCCACTCCAGAACCAGAGAGAGACAGTCGGTGCATGATCGCGACGTTGGAGAGTGAGAAGGGTCACAACTACGGCTGCGATTTCAAAAGGAGGGACAATTGATGGCCACGAACCAGAGATTGAACGGACCACGGCTGCAATGTCAGAGGAAGGTACAATCGATGGCCACGAACCAGAGATTGAACCAAAATGGTTGATTCAAACTCAGATGAGGACTAGGGTTTCGAATGTGGCTCTGATACCATGTAAGTTTCTAAAGAATATTGTGTATTCAATTGTAATTGTTTACAAAGAGTTCGCCAGTTTATATAGCCCTAAATCTATGACTGAAAAAGGAAATACAAAGATTACGCCTAATTCCTAAAATTATGCCTAATTCCTAATGTACACAAACTTGCCATATATACGCAATCATGCCATATATACAATATATTCTCACAATTTGAGAATAACACAAATTCAATTTATTGAACTCGAGCCTGCCTTGGATTAATTACCATAGTTGCCTTTCTACCAAGTGGTTATGTACGAGGAATTATTCTGTTTTGCAAGAATTTGACATTGAACGTTTGCCTAACAAATAGGAGGGGCTAAATGAATATATGGCTTCAAAAATAAGAAAATAATGGAGAAATTGTATGATATTATTGGACGAGCACGTGGACATATGATATTCCGAACTTACTAGATAATTTTTGATTGTGTGCCCATCTTATAACAATGAGACACATAGTTTGTCTCCAATGTAGGAGAATGTATGAAAAATTAGTTATATGGCCCCATACACTTGAAAGGGAAAAAACAACATGAAATATAGGCCAATGCTATCGAATAATGCCTGCTTCTTGCCAATCACATTCTTAAGAAATCTCTCATCCACCCAAGTTGGTTTCTGTCCTATCATATTTATAACAATTGTCATGGGTAACTAGAGCAATGCAGTCCTTTAAAAAATAAATTTTAAAAAAATTATCAATAAATTTTATTTTCAAGAGTATTAATGAGTCCTATTAAATTTCAATGTGGACAGTTAAGTCTTATTTTTTTCTAATTTATTCTAAAAAAGTTCATTTTTTCTTAATAACTTTTATTCCAAGTTTACCGTTCTTATTAAAATATGAACAACAATTATATAAACAATTTTAATTTACTAACAAAAATATATTTTTTAATTGCAAAAATTGAACAAACTATATCAAACAAAATCATACTCACACAAATAAATATATAAAAATACCATTTCAGTAATAAATAAATAAAACAACTCAGGAAGGGTCTTGATTTCAAGCCAAACAATCCTTAATTCTTGACAATGCCTCAAAGTCCTCAAGACACAACTCATACAGTAGGAAACATGCAATGGTTTTGACAGTTGCAGTTTGCACCCAGGCGCTCGCTGTCATACTCTCTCTCCTCTCAAAAAAGTTATGCATCAGCTTTCCTACTTGAGACGAGCACTCGATCAAAATCGGCATTCAAGATCTTTCTACCATATCAGAATACCCCAGCTTTGTGTTTATTGATCATGTAAGAGAGCCCAGGCGATTCTTGAAGGATCAAGACTTGTCCAGCAAATATGCTTGCTATCTCTTTGTTCAAGCGGGTGAGGAATCCAGCCTTCTTCCACGCTGAACTACCTGAGGGACAAATGTAAAGCCACGAGTGTGGCGATGACCAAAGCTGATGGATGACGGAGAAGCATCTGACGTACTCAACTTTGAGACCACTGAAACAAGGCCATCAATGGTTTCTTGTTCCACTTGCATCGCACTTGAAGCCTCCTCATCCCTCTTGTGAGCTGATTGTTTGCGTTGGTTCTTCTGTCTCTGTTTCTTCGATGTGTGGGCCTTCTTAAAGAACTCAAATGAAGTGGGGAATTTGTGCTTGTCTACAAGATGTTGCTGCCGACTTTTGTAGCTCTTCAGCTTCACACCACAGCCGTCAACAAGGCATTCGTACTGTCACACAGAAAACATACATCGATGTTAGTACTCACTGTATCTATATATCAGACACAGTCACACACCACACTTTGAACACCATAATGGAGCTTCTATTTGCTATACCAAAATATCATCCGTTGGCAGCATGAGATTAATGCAATATTACAGTTGAAGTCATGCAAATGGTATATAATCAATTGGTAAAGCTGTAATGATGACATATATAACACATGCACAAAGCACATTAATCATACAGCACCAAATGATTTTGAATTTTAGGGTAATAGAATCTATGTTACATGAACTTGGGTACCAGAATCGAGTGCATTGGGGGTGGGTGCATGTCCAAGTGTCAAGACTTTCATAAATTTAGGATATTAAAATATGTATTAAAAAAGTTAGACATAGAAACGGGGACATGTCATAGACACATATACTGCATATTGTACACTATTCTTAGATAAGATGTTGTAAGTTATGTAGAAATGTAGTTAAAATTAAATAAGATTTAGAGAAAATATGAAAAAAAAATTCTCTTATCCAAGGCTAAAAATGTTCTTTACTAGCAAATGTAAGTTTCTTCTCCAAATATAGTAACAAATTAGAGGATGCAAGTGTCTACTGGTGTCAGACACATCCTACACTCTTACCCTTGTCATATCCGTTAAGACACATAAACTGAAAGTAAAAACACAAATGCACAAGCAAATTAATCATGCAGCACCAAGTGATATCAAATTTTTGTAGAACTGCAGGGAAAAGTTATGCTTGCTGCTAGCTATGTTCTAATGAAAGATGCAGAGTCAACTGAGCATTGAAGAGGCCCTTTGCACCACCCAAAAAATAAAAAAATAAAAAATAAATAAAATTACCATAGCAAAGCCACGCGCAACTTTTGCTTGAAAGAAAGAATCGTGTGCTTCAGACACATGTATGCTGAGAAGGCGTGATGTAGGGTACACTCTTGAACAAACTGAGCAAGATGCAGTGTGCCGTGCATTGTAGTGATCTTCAAAGACATCCAAAGAATTCAAACGAGCACCACAACCAACAATCGGACAAAATACTTCCCTGGTCAGACATCAGTTTTAGCAGAAGTTAATTATTTAGTAAGAAAATACAGACACAGGTGTCCAAAGTCTCCAAACTGAGCTGACGAAACAGACTCAAAATAAACACACTGATGATCTCAAACATATGTTCCCCACATTGGCAAACTGAAGCACCGTAATTACTTGTGGCTGGTCAACCCAAAATTCCAACTTGGCCAAATCAATCAGACCGCTGAACAGCAAATTAAATCTGATTCTGTATCTGCAGGCTGACACCCATGTCAAAAAACACATGCTTACAAGTATAGGCCAATTGTATTACTGAAGCAAAGAAGAAAAACAGGGCAATGGTCCTTCTGAGACTAGATACAGGCCTGAAAAATTGACACGCCACATGGACATCGGCGTCCAATACGTGTTGGACACAAACATGGTGGCACCCAATTTGAAGTGTCCATGCTTCCTAGATAGTGACCTTTTCCTCCTCAACCATTAATTACTTTCTTGCTACATCCATGTTACAAGATTCCAGGAACTTCCAATAATGAAAACATAACTAATGACTATGCAATGACAATACGACGTATTTTTTGTGTTTGCAGCTAAAATTGGAGTAGGACAGCATATAAAGAAAATAGCATCTAACCATTAATACCTGTTGTCCTCATCTTCCATACTTTGAAGTTGTTGCTTTTCATCCTCATTAATGTCCAATGCAACCTAAACGTTGAGTAGAACAAAGTTAAAAAATAATCAAGTTCAATTTATTTTTGCAGGAAACCAAAAACAGTGGTGGAAAGGGTAACCATAACTGGTCAAAGCTTTGGTATTATCAGGGAAACTTCAGAAACATACAAAAGAAGCCTGATGATCAAGTTGTTTTTAGAAATAATCATTTATACGACAGATGTGCTGAGCGAATAAATGAAGGAAAATTGTGAACAATGAAAACAAGCCTCATTGACTTTAATAAAAAGACAACTTGTAGCAGATAGAGACTATTTTTTTTTTTTTTGAAAGTCAACAAGAAGTTTTATTAAAGAAGAAAGTGTGGAGGACAAGAAGTCCTCATACAATGAACAAGAACCCAATCAGAATAAAAACAACTATCAAAAAAGAAAGAGAAAACAAGAAAATCCAAACACTGGGGTTGCAAACAGCAAACCAATCCCTAGAAATCAAGAAAAGTGGAACTCCTTTAAACGGAGGAGACACAAAAGCCCAAAACTAAGCCAAAAAACCAGCCCTATCCCACAAAGAATCTACAGCAGCCTCCTTTCCATCAAAGATCCTTGAATTCCTTTCCAGCCAAATAATCCAGAAAATAGCACAAACAATACAAGACCACAAGGTTTTGGCTTTCTTAGAGCCACCGAACCCATCAAACTTAACAAGAAGCATATGTGTGCAATCCCGTGGAGCAGCCCATTTAACATCACACAAACCAAATAGATGCTGCCACAACTGTATAGCCACCGAACAATGAAGAAAGAGATGGTCCGCTGATTCCGAACTCCTCTTGCACATCACGCACCATTGAGGGCAAAGATAGTGGTTAGGCCTTCTCCTTTGGAAAAGGTCATTGGTCATGACACCTCTATGAGCTAAGGACCACATGAAAAACTTCACTTTATGAGGAACACCCGTTTTTCAGATTTTCATATGAAGAGGAAACAAAGGAACGGAGGACTTATCAATGAGATTGTCAAACAAAGATTTACAAGAAAAGACCCCTGAAGAACTGATATTCCACACCCTTTTATTAAGAGATAAAACTAAGGAAACCCCATCAATCAATGTCAACAAAGATGCCAACTCAAGAGACTCCCTATCACTTAGATTCCTAAGGAAATTGAAATTCCAAGAGATTGGTGCCACATTAGAACATGCCACCGACACAATTGACACATTTTGTGCATGAACCAATCGATATAAAAGTGGAAAAGCTTTGTCAAAAGATGTCTCCCCCACCTAAACATCCTCCCAAAATCAACTACTGGCCCCATCACCCACTTTCATAGACACAAACCGAGACACAATGGGAAACAAATGAGAGATAGACTTCCACGGAGAACGACAATTGCCTCTGCTAACCACAATAGAATCTCTACTATTAGCCTGAATTCCGTACTTGCTTTTAATAATAGAACACCATAAAGACTCACTTTCCTCGGGAAATCTCCACAACCATTTGCTCAATAGAGCAATGTTTCTAGCAACAATCTTCCCAATAGCAAGACCCCCTCTACGCCAAGGAAGAGAGACAACCTCTCAACTAACTAAGTGATCCCTCTTACCCTCATCACACCCCTCCCACAGAAAATCTCTCAACAATTTCTCAATTTGCCTTACAAAACGAACCGGTATCTTGAAAAGGGACAAAAATAAATAGGAATACAACTCAACACTGATTGTACCAAAGTGTATCTCCCACCCCAAGCCAACAATGCTCGCTTCCAACCCTCCAATCTTTTCCCAATCTTAACAAGGACTTGATCCCAAAAGGCCTCTGTTTTAGGATCGCTACCCAATGGGAGCCCCAAATACTTGAGAGGGAACTTCTCAATGGGACAACCCAACACATCTGCTATACGAAACTCGCAACTACGCTCAAGATTAATACCTACAACACAACTCTTAGTGAGATTGACCTTAAGACCGGATAAAACTTCAAAGATCCTCAAAAGCATAAGTAGATTACAGACCATACTTTCCTCCTTAGAAGAGAAAAATAGGATATCATCGGCAAACTACAAATGAGTCACACTAATCAAATCTCTACCCACCACAAACCCCTCAATAACCCCCTTATCCCTAGCAACATCAATTAACCGCCCCAACACGTCAACCACTATGATAAATAAAAATGGTGATAATGGGTCTCCCTGCCTTAATCCCGGAGACGCATGAAAAGAATTTTTCGCTTTTCCATTCACAATAACCGACATATTGCACGATGACACACACACCCCCAAACCCACTTCCTCCACCTAAAACCTAAACCCTTCCTTTCCAAAACAAAGTCCAAAAAATCCCAATCCACATAATCATATGCTTTCTCAAAGTCTACCTTAAATACTACCCCCTCCTTATGTAGCGCTCTATATTCCTCCACAACCTCATTGGCCACTAGGGCCATATCCAAAATTTGCCTTTCATGCACGAAGGCGCCCTGTGAAGCAGAAATCGTTTCCCCAAGAACATCTCTAATTCTTTCGGACAGAACTTTCCCCAAAATTTTGTAAAGCGATGTAACCAAGCTAATGGGCCTGAAATCCCCAATCTTCACCGACTTCTCCTTCTTGGAAATAAGGCAAATGAAAGTTGCGTTGGTGCAAAGGTTAACCTCCCCACTCTCGAAAAATTCACCGAACACTCTCATTAAATCTCCTTTCACAACGTCCCAACAATTTTAGAACAATGCTATTGAAAAATCATCCGGGCCTGGAGCCTTTCAGATAGAGACTATTTCAGCCAAAGATATAGCAAGAATACAAGCACAGACGACAACAAAGAATATACTTGATACTGATAATAATAACTACAGGGTGCACAATAGTGGTTTCAACAAATCAATATTGAATGAACTTGAAACAACCAAAGTGAGTCAAAAAATTAAATTGGACAAGAAATTACAATCCACTGACACATTGGCTTCTAGCCGTCTACAACACTATGAACCGCCATGACACAAATTTTATTAGTTCTCTAGTTCATCTATTATCAAATGAAGAAAATAAATAGTATTCAAAAGAAACAAGAATTAATGCTCCAAATTCATGCTCCAAACACAATGTTAATGGATAGGAATGTAATGATTGATAAAGTCTACGATATGGCTAGATTTGTACATGAGGTGATTGCAATTCGTTTATTTAGGGAACCCTCCCTTTTTTCCCCTCTCAAAATTCAAACAAACTGATGATTGAAGTTCTTCTATTAAAATCGTGTTGGGTCTAATTGACAGGTTTTGATTTTTGTTAAAATTTAGTTCATTTAGGTCTAAAATTTTTGTTAATTGACAGGTTTTGATTTTGTAAAGCAACACATAGATGGTTACTAAAACCCAAAAAGGTCTCAAAAGACGGATTTGTTCTTCCCATTCACCCAAGTATCAAGTATGCAGGGAACCCAAAAAGAAAAAGTTGTCATTCAAACCAATAGGGGCCTTCACTCTACTCCCCACCCCTCTTTCACAATACAAATGTGCTTTGATACATCTAGTCTATCACTCGACTAATCTACTATTGCTATGTATTTATGGTTTGCAGTGAATTCTGAAATTAATGCATACTTTCTTCGAACACTAAGCATTGGCAAAACAACGACACGCATCACATGGAACTAAATTGTTTAGCCACCTGAGTAGGCAGTTTTGGAGAGCTATCTCACAATTCTTTCGATAAACTTCACGGAAGAGCCAGAGAATGGGTCGGGTTTTTTGGGGTTTCGCGGGCAAATTATTGATTTTAAACTCAACTAGTGAAACAATTTCATACTTTACCCTAACAGTTTTGACCTACATATCCCTATAATTTACCAAATGATATAAATGCTCTCCCAAACCTTTTTATTAAAATCGGGTGGGAACAAATACAATCGGGTTGGGTAATTTTGCCATCCCTGGGACGACTGAGCTTTGAGATGCTAGGCTCTAAGTGAGGTCAAGCATAAATAACTTGACTTAGTATTTTTCTATTTTGTCATTCTAACTGAAGAAATTATTTCCATTTGTACCCCAAAAAAACTTTTGTTGGCATTATTTTGGGCAGCCAGAAATTTCATATGAATAGGATATAATATTGGGGTGATCTTCAGATGGGCAACAAAAAAATAATTAAAAAAAAAAAAAAAATCATCGATTTCATGAAACGCATATGAATTGAAAAGTTGAGACCTGTTTGGCAAGAAGCTCGCGTTCAATGTTGCCTGATGCAAAAAAGGAAGAGTCGGGACTGAAATGTCGAAGAACTGGACTCCAGTACGGAAACCCTAACGGTGTTCGGTTCTCTATAATATCCATCATCGCCATGTGATGTGATTAGATGAGATGAGATAAGATCAGATGTGGGTGTGATGATGATGAGTCTCTTTCTGTGTAGTTGCGTTTCTTGCGCTTCCAACTCCTATAGAACATGGCAGTGTGAAATGAAAAGCGCCGGTACATACATACATACAGCTTCTGGTGCGTACTTGGATTTGGGTTTGGCTTCAACGAGCTTGGTCCGCTTTCATTATTCTCTGGGCCCAATTGGGATTTGGGCTGTTGCGGGATTCAAGCCATGCCTTCTGTGCTTTTTTTTTTTAACAAGTAGTAGTAGGAGGATTGGAAAGGAAAATTAGTTTTTTGAATTTTGAATTTATATTTTTTAATATTTTTAGTGGTTTTTTAAATTTTAAATATATTTAAAAAGTATAAAATTTGTGATTTTTTAAAAATTTACTAAATACAAAAAAAAATGTAATATATTACTTTTTAAGAAGATTTACATTAGGTGTATCTAAAAAATAAAAAATGACTAAAATATGAAAAAAGTTTATTGAAGACAACAAAATATAAAAAACATTTAAAAAATTAAAAATTAAAAACTGTTTTTGAAAATTTAAAACAAAACAATGTACTAATAAAACTTGAATTCAGACATTACTTTCAATGAAAAAATGATTATAAGTGTACTCTAATTATTTCATTAAATTTATATATAAATATAGAGACCCAAAAAAAAATCCCCAAAATTAAGAATGAATCAAATCATTTATCAAATTCTTAACAGTCATATATCTACTTAAATTTAATGAAAATTTAAAATAGTAAAAATTGGAGATAGTTTTCTGTCATAAAAAATTATTAAAGCAAGTTTAAAGATAATTTTCAAAAATATTTAATGAAACATATCAAATCAAGTATTTAACTAAATTTTCACTTAAACTCAACCAAAAAAAAACCAAAAAAAGAAAAAAAAAATTGGAAATTTTCTTAAGGGTCCGTTTGGGAAGAACTAAAGTGGGCTTTTTTGGCTATTTTAGCCACAAAAGACAAAATAGGCTATTTTAGCTACAAAAAACAAAACATCACATAAAACCCATAATCATTACACTCTTCTCTCACAAAAAAAGTCAAAAAAGTCAAAAAGCCCTTCCCAAATCAAGCTTTTTAGCCTAGGTTAAAATAGCCAAAAAAGTCAAAAAACTAAAAAACCAACCTACCTCCCAAACGGAGGCTAAGTAACCCAAATAAGGCTTCTAAAAATGGGCTACACAGCAATGCAGCCCTAGCTCATAAAACACGGAGACGTAAATATTGAGAATGATAGAATGCGAAATAACATTATTGTAAAAATGTGTTATTTAAATAGACAAGTAATTTATGTGCGATGAAATACTTTTCTCCAATCGGTGTGAACGAATCAGTTAGAGAGGTCTTCTGATGGATCATTATGGTTGCTTGAGTCTAAAAGAAATTTGATACAATTTTAGGCAATTCAATACAAATTTGGTATATTTATCAGCAACAAAAAATTTCCTCAATAACTATTCAAACTCAACATATAGAATGGCTCTCTTTATCCCAAGTTTAGATTGGCATTACTCGACAAAATCATCCCTCTATATTAGGCCTTAATTTCATATTTAGTCTACAAGGTAGCATGTTTATCAGCCATAGCAGCATTAGTTTCTTCTAACGCACCGTCCATACACCCACAGCATATGTCCTTAGCACCATTACCCATTCATTAGAGTTGCGTGCAAAGCATGGTGGTACCATAGGAGTAGATTCAGTTCCTGCTAGTTTTTTATTTCTTATTGGAAACATTTTTCCTGAACTAGCCCAAAAATATATACCAAATGAAGAGATAGCAAATATTTCTTTAGAAAATTTAGACACAAAAGATTTTGAATTTGAAGAAAAATATGACCCTTGGAGCTTAGAAGATTTTCAACAAATTGTTAACCTATAATTAATTATCGCAAAAATAGGAAAACTGAAGAAAAAACCAGTATACAGAAGAATAGAAAATGACTTAGATGAATTAATAAGATTAGTTGAAACAACAGAAATTTTAGGATAACAGCCCATGAAATATTAGGAAAGAAATAATGTTTTAGCTAGTTTAGATATAAAAAATAAAGATTATAGGATTACATCAGCACAAATAGATCATACGCCAGCAGGTATAGAAGAATTTAGAACGCAGATTAAAGAGTTTAGATTTAGGAGTAATTCGATCTAGTACCTACATAGGAGCGTCGTATTTATGGTTAGAAATCATACAAAGATAAAAAGAGGAAAAGTTAAAGTTGTTATAAATTATAAAAGATTAAATGACAATACAGAAGATGATAAATATAATATACCAGATAAAAATCAGCTTATAAACAGAATACAAACAGCAAAAATATTTAGCAAATTTGATTGTAAGTCAGGATTTTGGCAGATAAAAATGGAAAAGGAAAGCATACATTTGACAGCCTTTTGTTGTTGTAGCTCGGCTTTTTCGCGCCCCCTTTCAGAAGCTCGAAAAGAATCCCTATAGTTCGAACTCTCGTGGTTATGAATCTAATCTCACAAGTGCAATGTGAAACTAATAAACACCAAAGAATCCAAATCCGGTAAATCGTTTTGAAAAATTGATTTTGAATCAAAAGTGCCAAAATTGGACTGCTTTGCCAAATATAGAGTCGCCACCTAAATATTTTATTATGGAGAAATTTAGGAAACCCATGACTCGTGCCCAAGGCCATTGTAGCTCGACTTTTTCGCGCCCCCTTTCTGAGAGTTCGAATTGGTCCTACAGTTCGGACTCTTGTCATGGTTCTGAATCTAATCTCACAAAGTGCAATGTGAAACTGATAAACACCAAAGATTCCAATCCGCCAAATCATTTTGGAAAATTTATTTTAGATCAAATAATGCCAAAACTAGACTGCTTTTCCAGATTACAGAGTCGCCACTTAAATATTTTGTTTTTTGGAAATTTAAGAAACCCTGACTTGTGCCAAAGGCCACATGTCCGTCATCACCAAAGTTGTCTCGGCTCGGGAACTTGGGTACGAGAGGGGAAGGTCCAGAAATGAGCACTCTCGTTCGCCCGATCAAAGATTGGCCTCTACTATCATGATATGTTGTTTTATAAACACATGTATTCTTAATCCGATTATTAGCTAACTTTACTATGTAACGCACACAAGCAAGTATAGACTAAAATCGCAAGAATTGGAACATTTCAACTCATGTTTGTTTTCAAAAATGGTTTGAATTTGCCACCCTCAAGTTGACTAAAACACGGATTTTGCTACCTCAAGTGGGCTTAAAACATGATTTTGCCACTTCGCAAAGTGGGCTTAAAACTCACACTCATTGAATTGATCCAATTCAAACAATCAAGCCTTCAATCACAAGCATTCATGCAGTTAATCATTTAAGCAAATAGCCTCATGGCAAGCATGCTATCATGGCAACACTCACACTCATGCAAGTATGCTAAAGCGTAAAAGCTTACCGAGTAGTCCAAGCCAAAACAAAAGCTAGTTAGAAAGAATGCATGATCCTAACTATGTTAAGATGCCTAATGCAACACATGCAATAATGCAATTAATAGGCTCGGCTACTAATATGGCATACAATACAGTTTGATAACATGCTTTGAAACACATATTCAAATAAGTATATGAAATTCAATGCAGTTTGAATGATGCGCCGAGCCTTGATGCATATAAGACAAATGAATGATACAAATATGCAAGCATAAGGAATGCTAATCAAAATGTGTCCCTAATCTAGCCATCGAAAGCGATTAAATAAAAGGGAGAAAGACGTGGGGTTGGAAGACATGCACACACACACACATGCGCACACTTATTACAACATTGCGCCCTCGCGAAGGAGGGTCCGAATGAATAAGCTAAGCTAATTATTACAAAACAGAACTAATTAACTATTCTAGTTAACTAATTATTACAGCACAATTAAATAACTAGCTATGCCAAGCTAATTAAAATATTACAAAACGAATTAAGTTAATTAATTACAACACATGTACGAATGAATTAGCTAACTTATTCTAAGCTAAGAAAAACGATTAAATGGCCTCGAGGGCGAGGGACGCCTGCATGCTCGGTTGCTCCACCCGAAAATGCCCTTGCCTTGTCATCAGATGCCTCTGTTTGCACTCATTTGATCACCGAAAATTGTACTAACTTCCAGATTGCCTCTGCTCCAACACAGGAACAGATTTGTGCAAAAATTCACTGGCGGCCGGTCAGCTACAAAAAGTGGCTGTCGGCCACCCCAACTGGCCGGTCAGCTACTTCAAGTGGCCAGTCGGCCACCCCCTTTTCTGGACTTCTTCTTTTGCTACAACAGAGAGCAAACAGAGGCAAAGCAAGGCATTTTCAAGAAATATATGTACTGCTACCCTCCTTATCATCTCTCAAGCTCAAAAGAGTGTAGCTCTTGGCTCTCAAGCCATCAACCAAGCATTTTCAATGCATGATAGCTAGGGAACCAAGCTTGTACAAGGTTAATGAATGCACAAACAAAACCAAATAACCACCACCCTATCATGCATGATCAATGGTGACGGTGACCAAGAAAAGTGGCACGTTTCATCACTTTGAGTATGAAACGTCCTATTTTTCTTATGTTCGGATTAACGTCCGATCCGAACACATGCAATGCAACACAAAGATGCTCAATCTTGCTTCTTTTACTTTGTTCATTTTGTTTACTCATTTTACATTACCGATTAGTCCTTTAATCGATTAAGTCCAAGGTGATTGTCCTCTACTGGAAAGAGGGCTTGAACCACAAGTGCCTTCGGTGATGACGGACATGTGGCCTTCGGCACCGAGTCAGGGTTTCCTAAATTCCCCCATTTTAAAATATTTAGGTGGCGACTCTGTATCTGGCAAAGCAGTCCATGTTTGGCACTACTTTTTCAAAAATCTGTTTCTCAAAACGATTTGCCAGATTTGGACTCTTTGGTTCAGATTAAGAACCGTGACACAAATTGAGTCCGAACTGTAGTGAGGCCCACGGGCGCATCTACAACAACCATACAATACAAGCCTCAAAGGGCCAAACCAACTCAAAACAAAATTAAAACTAGTCAAAACAATGGCTAAAACATGCTAAGATTTAGGCACAAAATGCTAAAAAAAA